TCATTTGGTCTTTTTCTATAGGGAATTATGCTAATATAGAACAAAAAACAGTCTTTATGTTTCATTAGTATAAATCACTTTTTGTCCATTTTCTCTCCATTTTATCCTTTCTATTTACAAAAATTAATAAAATAAACAATTCTATGACTTGAAAAATATATAAAAATATAGAGAAGGGATAAAATACCTATATACACAAAGTGATATTTTTAATATTTTCAAAAACTTGTTAAATTAAAATTTTTAATTACGTTCTACAGAGAGTAGAACTCTTATTCTACGAAAAATCGCATAGTATAACTCATATTCCTCGTTAAACAGTAAACTCTACAATTTTAGGAAGTTATATTCTACGATTGTATAGGAGTCTACATATTTTAGAATCTATATTCTACGTTTATATAGAATTCGATAGAATAACTGAATGCGGCTTCTACATTTTAAGCCATTTCTACATATCTCAGAATACGTAATCTACACATAACTCAAACCTCTACTATTAGTAGAATTTGCTTACAGTGGGACGTTAGTAATTCTACTTTTTGTAGAAGGTAGCTTCTACGGATAAGATTAAACAAGAATCCGAAATTTTGAAAAAAAATACTTAGGAAAATATTCAAAAAGATTTTTTAATAATTGCACTTACCTTAAACGTGGGAAACTGATTTCTCACGTCTCTAAAATCCCTTATGTGTCGACTCCATTGTTTCTTCTTCATCCAACCTACTCTCCATTGTTTCTCTTTTGATTTTTCACAAATTTTACTGTGTGATGCATATCTATACCACTTGTGGTGTATGGGAGTTAAGTACTACAATGGGATGGGTGTTTTCGGCTGATGAAAAAGGGGGCAGGTTACAGTTATTGGAATCAAGTTTTACATTGGAGGATTTAAAGAGAATGGTGTTTAAGGATTTTGATATGGAAGAAGCCAAATTGGTCGATTTGGAGTTGAGTTATTTACCTCCTGACTTGATCAATACATCAACTTGTCTGCCAGTGATCATTGTAAACTATCGACAGCTTAAGAATTTTGTTGGTTTTGTTAAAAACAATGCCTCCACTCGATTGTGTGTAACAAATAAAGCCAAGAATGAAAATCCGAATGAACCAGAGTTTGATCTTAACAAGTCGCCAAAAGAAGAGGATAACTCGTTCAACAGAGAGGACAACTCAGCTGATATTTTTGCTGATACGCAGAGAAAAAAGAAGAAAGAAAAGATGAAACAACTAGACTCTGATGAGGATGCCAATGATGATGTTACTATGATCTCTGAGAAAGAGAAGCAACACAAACATGACAAGTATTCTTTGCTCGATGTTGTTAAGAAGGGACAACTATTTAAGGACAAAACTTTGCTGAAGGCGACCTTTGAGATATGTGTAATGAAGCATAGCTTTGAATATAAGGTAATAAAATCAGATATAAAAGTTTGGTATGTTAGATGTGGAGATAATGGTTGCAATTGGTCTGTTCGAGCTGAGAGTTTGAAGGCTACTACATATTTCATCATCAACAAGTACGTTGGTGAACATACATGGGCACCTTCAAGCAAAACCAAAGGGGGTAAGACTGCTTCAGCGAAAACTATAGGCAGTCTGATTATGCATAAGTATGAAGGCGTCAAGGAAGGGCCAAAGACAAATGATATCATAGAGATTATGCGTAATGATCATGGATGTGAGATCTCAAATTCTTTAGCATATGATGCACGTGAATATGCGGTTAATGCAGTTAGAGGTATCCTAGAGAGGAGTTATGGGAAAATACCAAATTACTTGCACATGTTGAGAGAGGCTAATCCAGGTACACATTCAGCTTACAAGATTGACATCAATGGAAGATTTCGGTTCCTGTTTATTGCATTAAGGCAATCAATACAAGGATTTAACAGAGTCATGAGGCGTGTTATTGTCGTTGATGAAACTTTTTTGAAAAACAAATACAAAGGAGTCTATTGGTTGCAACTCCTGTAGACGGAAATTCTAATTTGTATCCTATTGCATTTGGAGTAATTGACTCAGAGAATGATCATTCTTGGGAGTGGTTTATGACACAACTAAAGGTTGTCATTTATGATGAACATCATTTGGCTTTCATTTCGAATAGACATGGGTCCATTGTTAAGGCACTTGAGAAGGTGTATACAAAGGCTATACATGGTATTTGTATTCATCATTTGTTGAATAATGTGGTAACTAGTTACCATGGCAAAGGACTTGTTGGGTTGGTTTCAAAAGCGTCCAAGGCTTATAGAGTTGTTGACTTTGAAAAGATATTTGCTGATGTGTAATATCAGTCCAGCAATTGGTAATTACCTAAGGGCTGCCGATGTGAACAAATGGGCTCGATGTAAATTTCCTAGATACAGATATGACCAACCCTGCTGAATCTATCAACTCCGCTCTACGTTCTCCGAGAGAATATCCAGTAATTCCTTTGTTGGACAGTATCAGAGAAATGTTGACACGGTGGTTTTATAAGCATAAGAAACTGATTTCAAAGCATAAACATGGTCTGACCAAATATGTTGAGAAAAAGTTTGAGAGGAGAACAAGGAAAGGCCGAACATTTGCAGTTTACCCTGTCACCGAAGGTCGCTTGCTTGTTAGAGGTGATATATTTGATTACTTAGTTGATTTGGATTGACAGAGTTGTTCATGCAGGAAGTACGACCTGATGAAGATCTCTTGTAGGCACGCAATTAAAGCTGGTTTTCATGTTGGCAGAGATCCACACACATTGACTGATTTGATGTACACGACAGGAGCTTAGAGAGAAGCTTATTAGGAAAGCATAAATCCTATTGCTGTTCCTGAGGATGCTTGGTCCATTCCAGATGATGTTAAGAAAGTGAACGTGCTACCGCCGGACACAAGAAAAGCAGCTGGAAGGACAAGAAAACGCAGATACGAAACGTTAAAGATAAAATTCGGTCTTCGCAAACATCACAAGAGAGGCAGCGTCGAAAGTGTAGTAGATGTGGTATAAGTGGGCACAACAGAGCAACTTTTAGAGTACCAATCTAGTCTTCCACAAATGGCAAGGGTAATCCTGTAAATGGCTCGATTTTACATGTGTTTGACGCTTTTACTTTTTTTCTGTAACATGATTCACGTTAAAGTGTGCAACTGTTGGTATTTAAGTTCAAGGCTCGATTTTACATGTGTTTTTCGCTTTATCATTACAACTCTGTTTCATATGCTTTTGGTTCTAAATTGTTTGAAATTTGTTTTCATTGACATTGTCATACATTATGATCATATTTTTTATTTGATTTGCAATGATGTTTATAGTTCCGTATGTTTGAACAGAACTAAAACCAAACATAACACAAAGAAGCACACAATTGACATATTGTTGTACTCATCATATTCAGCTTAAGAACAGAACCTGCAATTCTATATTAAACATGCTCAAAAATATTGGAAGAATTATTTGGGATCGGGATCGATCGATCTAAAATAGAGATCGACCGATCTATGATAGATCGATCGGTGAAGATCGACTGAACTGGACAGGGTCGATCAGTTTCTGCTCTGTTCTTTTTTATGTTTTTGTTTAATCATCGAGATCGACCGTTGGGATCGACCGTCTCTTTCAAGGATCGATCGATCCCGTCATTCGAAAGATGTACTCTAACTTACGAAGATCATTACTCAATTTGGGTGGGTTTATATGGATGTCCATAGACTACTGTTTGGGATCGATCAATCTAAAATAGAGATCGATCGATCTATGATAGATCGATCGGTGAAGATCGACTGAACTGGACAAGGTCGATCAGTTTCTGCTCCGTGCTTTTTTATGTTTTTGTTTAATCATCGAGATCGACCGTTGGGATCGACTGACTCTTTTTGGGATCGATCGATCCCGTTATTCGAAAGATATACTCTAACTTACGAAGATCATTACTCAATTTGGGTGGTTTTATATGGATGTCCATAGACTAATGTTTGGGATCGATCGATCTAAAATAGAGACCGATCGATCTATGATAGATCGATCGGTGAAGATCGATTGAACTGGATATGTTTTCTTGTAGTTTAGCGTATGTTTAGGGTCTCATTTAGTTTTCTTTTAGTTTAGGGTATGTTTTCTCTTCGTTTAGAAATTTGTTCCTTAAAAATCATAATCATAAAAATCCACAAAACAATTACCTTACAATAAGCATACTTTCTAGTTTAGGCATTCTACAATCATAAAAGTCCTAATTAAAAACCATACAAACTAGAATGATGAACATAACTATTACATCACAGAATCTCCTCATAATTCGAAGACAAACACTCAGGAACTTCATACTTTGACATATTCTCGACCAATACCGGATCATTAGCTGCTTCCCAAAGATCCCACAAAACTTTAAGGCGTGATTCTTTGATGTTATCATCATTCACGACCAAATCCAATCCAAGAGCATGACACTCAATGAACTTGAGTGCATAGACACCACAATCACAAGCACCTGCATTTAGACTCTCCATTGGGACATACGTAACCGTATACAAACTTACTGTGAAATATTTCTGGTATATTAGAGGCTGAACTGCCTTCACAATATGTGGAACAAGGTTCGTGAACCCATCCACCTCCCTATACCTTCTTTCACCAGAGCACTCAAACACATCAATGTGCCTGGTTTGGAAATATATGCACAAAGCGATCCAATGAATCCCACCGACATAAACAGGGACATACAGCCGATCCACATTTACATTCCATATCTCGTGTGTTCTACCATTTGGTGGAAGGACCCCTTTGCCGAACTGCAGTAACAATTTATGAAGACTATATGATCTTTTACCTCGTTTCCAACACTCGTACTCCTTTTTAATCATATTGCTGAAGACAACAGTCATGAAAGCCACACGATGAGGTTTTCATCGTCTCAGAGTTGTTCTCTCACGGAATACATACATTGTGGCATCAATCTCCTGCATAAATAACAAGTGTTAACAAACACAAGGTATATAATATACAAATGTAAGGTAATAGTCTATAGGTTTACCGAGTTAGCAAGCCACTCGGTTTTAGTTATAAGATGAGCAGCCATCTCACTATCTAATTTCGCAGGTCCAATCTGTAGCGGTCTGAAACCAAAACTAAAACAAAAAAAAAACAAGCTAAAATTTGTAGTATACATTTTGATTAAAATGAAACAATACATGATACAAAAATGAGAATTTACTTACGTGGCAGAAGTTGACCAATTTCTTACTTTTTCCCAATCCTCTTCACGGATATACACCAATGCGGCATCCGGTGATGCTTCTCTGGTTCGATGTATCTGCTCATCACGTAAGTTAAGTGTGGACGTCTTTCTTGATCTTGATTTCCTTGGTTTTTCGACTTTGACTTGAGAAAGATCAAAACCATGTACAAATGTATCTTGGGACATGTTTTCCATATCTTGTGTACTCAATCCAAAATCATAATCATTAGTTTCTAAAGCAATCTTTTTCCCATCCTATTCATCAAAACAAAATAAAACATATAAGAAGCCATTCAATTTTAACACAAACAAATCGTTATATTCATTAAGTTTTTATTTCACAGTCAAAGAAAATTACATATCCGATTTTACACACACTAGTTTCATAGCATATTACATATCCGATTTTACACACACTAGTTTCATAGCATATTACATATCTGATATTACACACACTAGTTCGATAGCATATTACACATACGATGTACACAAACTAGTTCAACCTAACTCCAAAAGCCTAACTCCAAAAGCCTAGCTCCAGCATCCTAACTCAAGCATCCTAGTTCCAGGTACATTAAGCTCTACACTTTTGCTTAGGTAGTACCTTTTTCTTTGCTGCAGCTTGATCGACTTTGCTCTTAGGTGGTTGATGGTCTTTCGTCTTAGATGCAGCTTCATCGGCTTTGGTCTTAGCTGTAGCTTCAGCGGCTTTGATCTTAGTTGTAACCTCATTAGCTTTGGTCTTAGCTGTAGCTTCATCGTCTTTGCTCTTCTATGGAGCTTGTTCAGCTTTGTTTTTAGATGAAGCTTGTTCAGCTCTGAGCTGTGCAACCTCAATCTCTACCATCTCCATCCTCTCTGAAAAATCAGTATCCATCCTGGCAAGTTGCGTACTAATTCTATCTCCCAAGGAAGTCGCAGCTGAGTTGACGAGAGTCTCAATGAAACGCTTAGTTTCCGGATCAAGACCCATTTCTTTTCTGCAGATCGCTTACACAACAACTTCTTCTTTCTTGTCTCGGCTCCTTCATCATGAATTTTTCTCTTCCCTTTACTTGCACCATTAACTGAAGAACTCTCCCCCTCATGTGCAACATCAGCACCAACTGTCTGCTCATCAGCCTCATTCTCAACATTATTTTTCTGAGCTTCCTCCATTCCAATCTCTTCAGGTTCTAAAGCTTCCCATTCGGTGTTGCTCCAATCAAAATTCTCCTTGATCCTATCCAGAATAAGGTCCACTCGTTCAATTCGCATCTCACGCGTTCTTGAATACTCATCAGACAGAAACACATCACTGCTACCACTGAATGAGATGACCGAGAACAACTGACCCTGCAAAACAATTATAACATCAACAGCTATTCAAAATATTTACAGAAATCATGAAGAAGACAAGAAAAAATGTACATACCTCCTGAGGAAATAAGTTCTCAATCTGAATGATGTCTTCATAAGAAACCTTTGCAGCTCCTTTCCAATTGGCACACCTTGGACCTATGAAGTTCTCACTGATTCTTGTGCTTAATATTTCTCCAAAATCAGGAATTGCTTCCATGATCTATATCTGAAAAGCGTAGGTGAAACCCTCTAAAATGTAGCTCTCCTTGTTACTCAGCTTCTTCCTAGTCTTGTCAATCGTCTGCATCAAGAAGTCAAAGGAGTGAAGACCCCAATGAAATTTTTGAACCTTGTCCAGATCCATCACCAGCTTAATGTACAGATGCGGGATGTTCACCTTCTCATCTTTCCCCATCACCACACCCATGATCACACACAAGTATATCAGCCTCAACCTATCAACCCGAGTCCACTTGTGAACTTCTTCAAGATGAGTTTTCCTGATCGAATTCAACGTAATCTTCCCACACTTCCCACCACTCCTTAGTATGTTACTCCGAAAACCCCGTCATATTTCCAATTAACTACATCGCTGCCACTGTCCTGTGAAACCTTGAGACCGGTCACAGCATGATACTCCTGAAGGGAAAAACGGAGAGGCCTCCTCGCAAAGGCAAACCACTTCTCATGTCTCTTCGAGGTAATGATCTCCCTACACAAGAAGCTATGCACCAGTTTCCCAGAAAATATGAGCCGGTTTTCCTCAATAGCTATGATGTGTTTGAAAACAGGATCAGTCTTCACATCCTCATATTCGGCAGACATAGCATTCTTCAGATCCTCGAGCAGTTCTATCCGGCAGCTGTTGTTGATCTTCTTAACTTGAGGTTCGAGCCCCTCTCCATACAAACGTTTAGGTAGCTCTAATTCCATACCTACAAAAGACAAAACATAATTTTAGTATAATGAAATTTATTCAAATTAAAAAATAACTCAAGAGTGAAACAATACTGAAAAAAAATCAGTAAACAACCAATATCACAAAACAAAATAAACAAGAACAAATTTGATTCATGTCGATGCTCCTAAATAAATCAAACAAATATTGATTGCTCCTAAAAAAATCAAACAAATATTGATCCTAGTCAAAGAAACTAACCTAAGAGTGAAACAGAGACTAAGACAAAGAAACAAAGACTAAGACTAAGACAAGCGAAATCACTTCATCAACCAAACTGCAAAACAAACGATATTAATTCTACAATTTTGACTGTAAACAAACAAAACAGAGAATACGAGAAAGCCAACAATTTAAGAAATTCTAATGAAATCAAGTAGTCAAACGGTTTAGAGGAGAGTCCAAAATTCATCAATCCATAACAAACAAAATCTATTCAGAAATAAAAAAAATCATAATCATCTATCGAACTTAGTCAAATCAAGAATCCGATTCCTTGACTCGATTCACTTAATGGGTTCACAAATACGATAACAACACTATTATTCTTACCATAATTCGAACATGCAAAGAGGAACTCGAGGAACACAAAACATAGCAACAAAAACCCTAATCATTTTAGAAGCATGCAAAGATATAAGGTTGTCAAGAAATTAGTTCCAAAGAACTGGAGTAGAGAAACTGAGGTGGAGGAGAAAACCGGAGAAACAGAGGAGCGAAGCGGAGGTGGAGGCGGAGGAGAGAACGAGATGAGAGAACCGAAGGCGGAGGAGAGAAGCGGAGGCGGAAGAAACCACCGGAGAACCTCAGGAGATAAGAGGAGAAGAGGAGGAAAAAAGCGGAGACGCGGCGGAGATAAGCAGAGACGCGGAGGAGAGAAGCAGAGATGCGGAGGAGAGAAGCGGAGAGGCGTAGAGAGCCGAGAGAACACTCGATTTCCCTAAAACTGATGATTTATCTGTTGATTTCACCGGATAAGACACAATCACCTTCCCATCTCCTTGTGTTCTTGTCGAGAGAGAGAGAGAGAGAGAGAGAGAGAGAGAGAGAGAGAGAGAGAGAGAGAGAGAGAGAGAGAGAGAGAGAGAG